TATATATATATATATATAAAGTGCCGTCAAGTCAATTCCAACTCATAGTGAACATATATAGGGTTTCTGAAAAGCAGTTAGTGAGCTTGAACCACCAAATTTGCCATTCAAACTGACCTTGAGGTGAAGAGCTTATCCTACAGTGCCGTACCAGGAGTACATATATACATACTTGCATATATACATATTCACGATGGTAAGTAAAAAATTATCCATCCTCCTGTTATATTAAAACACACGTCAACATCTATGCCTGATGACAATATTGAACGTGCAGGTGAAATGATTCTGTTGGATAGACAACTGACAGTGGATTCTGTGGCAAATTATTTGCATTGCAAATAAACCATGGCTCTGACGATGAAATAATCTATAACAAACTTGAGTTTTGAAAAGCTTGTGCATGATGGGCTACTGAAACAGCTCATGGAAGAGCATAAAAGGAAGTGTTTGGACATCTGCAAACAAAATGTGGACCACTACTCAAAGAAAAGTCAAAGTTTCTTTACAAAAAGTGTTACTGGTGACAAGACATGCATTCATCACTGTGAGCTTGAGTGAAAACGGCAGAGTATAGAATAGAAATATCTTTAACAACATGGTTACTAGGAGACATTCAAGCAAAATTATGATTCCTTCCAGCAAATTCTCTGAAAGTCCCAGAATTTCCCATTACCCATTTTGCAATATTTGGTCTGATATGGTATTAAGCATTGTTGTTGTTGTTGTTAAGTGCCATCAAGTCGATTCCAAGCCATAGCGACCCTGTATAGGGTTTCTGAGGAACAGCTAGTGAGCTTGAACCGCCGACCTTGCAGTTCAAATGCCTTTGCAGTCTGGCGCGTTAACCCACAGCGCCACACCAGGATTAAGCATTAAGCTTTCACAATATCCTTTTCATCCTCTACCATAAGCCATTAAGAGCAAAACCATGTGATGCCTTTGACACCTGGCTTCCGCTACCTCTTTCGTTCCATTTTGAAGGTAAAGACAAATACCGCTATTTCTTATCCTTCTTATTTATTGCTTATGTTCTTGTCACAAATGTATTTTCCATGGACATTTCTGCTTCTAAAACAGCATTTGTGCCATGAAAATCAAATTTTCTAATCTAGCTCTTAAACAATAAAATGGCTTTATTAAAGAAGGGGAAAATGTAAGCATAAAGTCATTTTTGTTCAGTTATTGAAATGCTCTAATACCATACTATGCTTTAGTTATTCAAGCTCTGTGTAAACATAACCATTCCTGGGTTCATGGACATGGTGAGATTTGTCTTTTGGGCATTAATCCTCTTTGGTTAGCCCCATCTGCTACTAGAGTGAGTGTATTGTGATGTCCTTTGATTGTCCAATATCTCCAAGGGTGGAATCCACTCTTTTCTACCCTCTGATTCATATTTTACCACATGGGTCAGAACTGATTTGATGGCACTTAACAACAACAAAATATTTAAAAGGATCCACAGAGGACTCAATCTTCTCATACGGTCTATTGCTATTGTTTGTGTTAGATGCCATTGAGTGAGTTTCAACTCATAGCAACCCTCTGCACAATATAACAAAACACTGCCCAGTCCTGTGTCATCCACACAATTAATGTTACGTTTGAACCCATTGTGCTGCCACTGTGATAATCCTTCTTGTTGGGCCTTCCTCTTTTTTTAATGACCCTCCACTTTGCCAAGCATGATGCCCTTCTCTCATATGATTTAGAAAATGCAAATACAAACAATATCCAAAAAGATTTTGTCTTAGACTGGGTTCTTTAGAAAAGCAAAAGCAGCAAAGTTTATGTATGAAGTAGAAATTTATATACAAATTTATCTCCTGGTAATGGCTCACATGATATTGTTGTTGTTGTTAAGTGCCATCCAGTAACCCTGTGCAGGGTTTCCGTGGAGGGGCTGGTGATCTTGAACCGTAGACCTTGTGGTTGAAACCAACTTTGCAGTCCAGTGCATTAACCCACAGTGCCACACCAGACTCCCATGACATAGAGACTGGCAAGTTCCAAGTCTCAGTGTCAGATGTCAGGCTGGAGGCTCTCCTGACTCACTTACCTGCAGGAACTGATAAATCTATCAGTAGCAGCATGTCACCCAGGCAAATGACTCCACTGTTATCAGGAGTCCATGGCTGGCAGACAATATAGCATGCTGCTGATTTACAGCCTGCAGAGGCAAATGATTTCCAAGATGGTTAGGCAATATGCTAAGCTTCTGGCTCAAGAGAGACCCGATGCTTAGCCAAATGCAGCATCCATATCCAGTAGAAATCAAGCAAGATTTGCTAGAGGTTCCACACATGTTGGAAGCAGATCACATTTCTGAGAAAAAGTGAATTGTTTATAGCATAGCTCACCATGACGGTGTAACATTATATCAGATATCATCAATGGTGATGACTATATCACAACTGTTAAACCAATAAGAATCATAGCCTAGCCAAACTGATATACAACCTTAAATGCAACAGAAACAAATTGTTCAAAACCTTCTTTGTTTCCTTTGTTGTTGTTGTTAAGTGCC